ATACAAATGGCTAAGAGACATATGAAGAAATGTTCAACATCACTAATCATCAGAGAGATGCAAATTAAAATAACAATAAGGTATCATCTCACACCTGTCAGAATAGCTTCTATCAACAAATCATCAAACAACAAGTGTTGGCGAGGGTGTGGAGAAAAGGGGACTCTAGTACACTGCTGGTGGGAATGCAGACTGGTGCAGCCACTGTGGAAAACAATATGGTGTTACCTCAGAAAATTAAAAAATTGACTGCCATTTGACCAAGTGATCCCACTTCTAGGAATATACCCTAAGAAGCCTGAAACACCAATTAGAAAAAAATATATGTACTGTCATGTTCATAATAGCACTATTTATAATAGCTAAGCTCTGGAAACAGCCCAAGTATTCATCAGTAAAGGAATGGATAAAAAAGCTGTGGTACATATACACAATAAAGTACTATGCAGCTGTAAGAAAGAAAGATCTCTTATCCTTTGAGACGACATGGAGGGACCTGGAGATTATTATTTTAAGTGAAACATGCCAGGCAGAGAAAGCAAATATCACATGATCTCCTTTATGTGTGGAATATAATAAACGTAACAGTCTGAGGAATGGGGTAGTCCCAGAGACATGGAAGTGGAGTACAGACTGACAACTCCCAGAAGAGGGGGTGGACGGGGAGAACTTATATGCATGTATGCATGAACAATGGACATGGACAACAAAGCTGGGGACAGGGTGGGGAGGGTGGGGGAGTGGGAATTTATGGGGGAAAAGGGAGAAACATCTGTAACAAAAATATATAAATTAATTAAGTAAAAAATAAAATTAAAAAAAGAAAAAAAACAGGACCCATATATATGCTGTCTACAAGAGACCCACCTCACAACAAAAGACTCACACAGAATGAAAGTGAAGGGATGGAAAAAATTTTCCAAGAAAATGGTAATCAAATAAAAGCTGGTGTAGCAGTACTCATGTCTGAAAAGATAGACTTCAAAACAAGGGCCATAATAAGAGACAGAGAAAGTCACTACATAATATTAAAAGGAGCAATCCAACACGAGGATATAACCCTGGTGAACATATACGTACAAAATACAGGAGCCCCAATATATATTAAAAAACTTCTGGAAGACCTCAAGGGAGAGATCAATAGCAACACGATCATAGTGGGTGACTTTAACACACCACTGACACCACTGGATAGATCTTCTAGACAAAAAATTAACAAGGACATAGAGTCCTTACAAGACAAACTAGATCAGTTGGATTTAATTGATATTTACATAACAGTTCACCCCAAAGCTGCAGAATATACATTCTTCTCAAGTTCACATGTGTCATTCTCAAAGATAGACCACATGTTAGAACACAAAGCAAGTCTCTACACATTCAAGAAAATTGAAATCATATCAAGCATCTTCTCAGATCACAGTGGCATGAAACTAGAACTCAATTACAATAAAAACACACCAAACATTCAAACACTTGGAGGCTAAAGAGCATGTTATTAAACAACAAATGGGTCACTAACGAGATCAAGGAAGAAATTAAAATCTTCCTGGAAACCAGTGAAAACACTCAACAACAAAAAAAATCTATGGGATTAGATCCTATCGAAAGCAGTCCTGGTGGGAAATTTCATAGCACTACAGGCCTACCTCAAGAAACAAACAAAAAAAATTCTAAATGATTTTCTAACCCTACAACCTAAAGAACTAGAAAATAAACAAAAAGAAAAACCCAGAGTTAGTTGGAGGAAGGAAATAGTAAAGGTCAGAGGTTAAATAAATGACATAGATACTAAAAAAAAAACAATTTAAAAGATCAATGAAACAAAAAGCTGGTTCTTTGAAAAGATAAACAAGATCGTTCGATTGACCTTTATCCAGACTCATCAAGAAACAAAAAGAGAGAAACCCAATAAACAAAATCAGAAATGAAAGAGGACAAGTAACAACTGACACCACAGAAATACAAAGAATCATTGAAACATACTGTGACCAATTATACACCAACAAGTTGGATAATCTAGACAAAATGGACAAATTTCTAGAAATATACAGCATCCCAAAACTGAACCAGGAAGATATAGAAAACTTGAATAGACAAATAACAACAATGAAAATTGAAGATATAATAAAAAAACTCCCAGCAAAAGCCCAGGCCCAGATGGCTTCACAGGGGAATTTTACTGAATATTTAAAGAAGATCTAATACCCATTCTCCTCAAACTATTCCAAAAAAACCAAGAAGATGGAACACGTCCAAACTCATTTTACGAGGCCAACATAATCCTAATTTGAAAACCAGATAAAGACACTACAAGGAAAGAAAACTACAGTCCAATATCCCTGATGAACATAGATGACAAATTCCTTAACAAAATATTAGCAAATTGGACCCAGCAATACATCAAAAAAATTATTCATCATGACCCAGTGAGATTCATCCGAAGAATGCAAGGATGGTACAATACTCACAAATCAATAAATGTGATATACCACATAAACAATAGGAAAGATAAAAACCATATGATCATATCAATAGATGCTGAAAAATCATTTGACAAAATGATTAGTGATGCTAAGCATTTTTTCATATATTTCTTGGCCATTGTATGTCCTGTTCTGAGAGGTGTCTATTGAGATCCTCTGCCCATATTTTAATTGGGTTCTTTGGCAAAACCAAGAAATTATAAAAATTAAGGATATAGTGTGAAGGAGCTGTTTTATTTTGTTGATCTAGATCAGTAATATCAGTTTACTGAATAACCTATTCATTCACTGAAAGGAGAAAGTGAGAGTCAGAGTAACTAATTTCAGAACAATATCTTTGGCTTGGAATGTTGTATAATAGAGAGCATGATTGATACAGGACCCAGCTCACTATAGAACAATCACAGATGGCTGTACATAATCCAGACACACAGAGGTTATTTCTGAGAAAGAACACAGGTAGCCTGGTGCACTGGATAAAATCCACTATAAGGTCTGCTTACAAAATCCCCCTACAAAATGCCATGGGCTCTTTTCAATTTTTAAAGTGATTTTGTCTTTTTAGTTCAGAGTAGAGAATTTATATGTGTCTTCAACTTCATTGATTCTCTCTTTTGTCATATAGTAAATTTATCAGTTTAGATGTACTTTTTCATTCTAGCATGTTGTTTTATTACACTTTTCATTTCTCTGCTAAGATTCTCTACCTTTTTACTCTTTATGATCATGTTTTTCTACAAGTTCTGCAACATATTCGTAATGCTAGAATTAAAGGTTTTGTTTTGTTTCTGCTAAATTTAATTTCTGAAACTTTTAGTATAGTGACTGATTTTTATGTTTTGATTATGAATCACATTTTATGCATTTTTTATTTTTAATTAATTAATTTATTTTTGTTACAGATGTTTCTCCTTTTCCCTCCACAAATTCTCCCCTCTCCCTCCCTCCTAGCCCTTTGCCCGGCTTTGTTGTCCATGTCCTTTGTTCATGAACACATGCATATAAGTTCTGTGGTTTATATTTCCCCCACCACCCCCTCTTCTGGGGATTGTCAGCCTTTACCCCACTTCCATGTCTCGGGGACTACCCCATTCCTCAGACTGTTATGTTCATTATATTCCACAAATAAGTGAGATTATATGATACTTGTCCTTCTCTGTTTGGCTTGTTTTGCTTAGGATAATACTCTCCAGGTCCCTCCATGTCGTCTCAAAGGATAAGAGATCTTTCTTTCTTACAGCTGCATAGTACTCCATTGTGTATATGTAGCACTGCTTTTTTATCCATTCATCTATTGATGAACATTTGGGCTGTTTCCAGATCTTAGCTATTGTAAATAGTGCTGCTACAACATGGGGGTACATATACTCTTTCTGGTTGGAGTTTCAGGCTTCTTAGGGTATATTCCTAGAAGTGGGATCACTTGGTCAAATGGCAGTTCAATTTTTAATTTATTGAGGTAACACCATATTGTTTTCCATAGTGGCTGCACCAGTCTGCATTCCCACCAGCAGTGTACTAGAGTCCCCTTTTCTCCACACCCTCTCCAACACTTGTTGTTTGATTATTTGTTGATGGCGGCCATTTTTTTTTTTTTACATAATTCTATCTGTATCTATGTATATATGTCTAATGATGCATGATTTTATACTAAGTATTGAAATACTTGTAGAAATTTAGGATTATATGTTTTTCTTTTAAGAGCATTATGTTATATTCTGGCAAACAGTTGTATACTGGCTGATTCTTTTGGTGTTTAAAGACTAATTTTGGACATCTTTTATGGTTTTGTCTTTAGCCTTAGAGAATGGCCCTTACTCTATGACATGTTTGTTTCCAAAGATATGACTTATCTGAGATTTTTTTTGGTTGAATGGCCAAGGCTACTGAAATCTGTCTGTCCTGGCTGGACTATAACTCTGAAGTCTTCAGCAATTGTGACTTCTGTATCCTCCACTAAACTCTCAACCTCATAGAAGCTCCTATCCCTGGATCCAATGGAATATTGCTCTGCTCATGCATAACCTTGCAGCTCCTTCCTTTCTTATATACCATCACACAAAATTTTACTGCTTCTGTATCCCAGAAATCTAATTTCTTCTTTTTCTATTTAGCAAGAGTGTCTCTCTATTTGAGCTCCCAAACCATGTACTATAGTCAGGAAAGTGCCACTAGAGCATGAAGGGAAATAGCAGCTTAATTTTGGAGTTTATTTTTTCTCAAGTATTTTAGATATATGCTATCTGCCCTTTTCTTTTTTTGCTGCAAAAAAAAAAAGCTTTATTTTTTCCATTTGGTCCAAGGCATGGGAGAGGCTCCACAATGGTTAAAATGCTGCTTAGGTGTTTCAATGAGAGACTCAGGCAGAAGCCAGACACAGGGTGATGTAGAAAGGCCTCTACAAGGCCTCTGGGCTCCAGTGACCTCTGTGCTCCTAGTTGTGCTTGAGGGTGAGCATTTCAAAGAGACACTCACCCATCCCCGCCTAAGGGTCAGCCAGCCTGCATAGGTTGGTCAGGTGGTTGCCCATTTCTTGAAGAATTTTACCTGCTCATCCAGGAAATGATTCTCCAGGAAATCACAGAGATGGGGGTTTGTGTGTATAGAGCCCAGGGCATGCAGATCTACAAGCGCTTCGTTCAGGTTCTTCTCTATGTCCAGGATGGCTTCCATGGTATCCTGAGTTTTACCCCACTCATCTTGGGACAGCTCCAACACATTCTGGAACAGAGAGTGGTCACCACATTGGTTTTGCATTTTCAAGAGATGCTTAGTCCCCTTGAGCTTCTCCTTGGCCAATTCTCTGAAGAAGTGTCCCATGTTCTCCAGAGGCATATCGTCATGGTTGAAAGAGAAGCCCAGAGAAAAGTTGTTGTAGGAGGCCTGCAGATGCAGGTTGACCAGGGGTTTGACAATGGCCTCCACTTCTGTGAAATACTTCTGACAAATTTGGGAACTCATTGTTACTTGGCAATAAGGAGGTAAGCTCTGAAAACAGTGTTTGCTGCTTTCAGAGGCCAGGGATAGGAGAGATGGTTCTGAAGATTTTGACTAGAAAAGAGGTTGGAGGGTGGTTGGAAGCTGGAGGAAATGGCATCCCTGGGTTTGTTTTGTCCAAAGACTTTTGAAGCAAGAGATAGATCTGGAAGACCACCGAGGGCACTGCCTTCTGCTTTTTCAATGCATGAAAATAGTTTATGTTTTGTACAGTTTTATAGTGTTTATAAAAGAAGGGCAAGTCCAGTGCCAATTTCCATGCCATAGCTAGAGGCTGAAGTCTCCCCAAGCAGACATATTTGACTTCAAGGTACATGGTTTTGCATTATGCATTGTAAACACTTTATTATCTAAGCCTTTTGAAATCAGTAGGCTATGAAGTCTGTAGGAAAGAATCCGGTGATTTGCCTCTTTGAGGTTCTAGAGGCCACCTACATTTGTTGGCTTGTAGCCCCTTCTTTTATCTCAAAACCAGCAGCATGACATCTTCACGTCCACATCACATCCTCTGACATTGTGCTTCTGTGTTTATGTCTCTGACTCTGGGCTCTCTTGTTTTTTAAAATTTATTTTTTTATCTTTTTTATTGAAGTATAATTGACATACAACATTATTTTCCTTTCAATATTTGTAATATTGCTAAATAATCACCACAATAAATCTAGTTAACACCCATAACCATACACACTTACAATTTTTTCTTTTGATGAGAACTGTTAAGATTAACTCTCCTAGGAACTTCAAATATGCAATGCAGTAGTATTACCTAGAGTTACCATGCTATAGATGACGTCTCCATGATTTATTTACTTTATGACTGGAAGTTTGTACCTTTTGAACCCCTTTACCCATTTCAGCCATCCCACCGACCCTTGCCTCTGGCAAACATCAATCTGTTCTCTGTAGCTATGAGTCTGGGTTTTTTTGTTATATTTTGTTTTGTTTTTAGATTCCACATATAAGTGAGATCATATAGTGTTTGTCTTTCCCTTTCTGACTTATTACATTCAACATAATGCCCTCAAGGTCTATCAATGTTGTCTCAAATGGCAAAATTTCTTTTTTTTTTTATTTTTATGGGTGAATAATGTAATAATTTTTTTGTTATTTATCCATCAATGAATACTTACATTGTTTATCTTAGCTATTATAAATAATTCTGCAATGAACAGGGGGATTCCTATATTCTTCTGAATTAGTGTTTTGTTTTCTTTGGATAAATACCCAGAAGAGCTGAATCATATGACATCCCTCTTATAATTACATTAGGCCTAACTGAATAACCAGAATAATATCCCCACCTGAAGATCCTTAATTTAATTATATCTGCAAAGTTCCTTTTGCCATGTAAGATAAAATATTCATAGTTTCCAGGAATAATATATGGTATCTTGTGGAGCAGGGAGGTGGGTCATTATTCAAATTAAATTCAAATTTTAAAAATCTTTGCATTTCTACTTTGATGACTTACCATTATGAGAGGTAGAGATTATGCCCCTAACCTAATGAAGTTAACAGTCACATTCTTATAAATGATTTGGGCTCTTTTGGTGGTTCTGAAGAAATTAGACAAGAAAATTTGTCTTCACTTATTTGAATTTGTGAACAAATATTTCTTTCTTATTCCTTTTTTAGAGAATCCTAATATTATTGAACAGCAAAAAGTTACCACCATTTATACCCCTGCTTTCCAAGTATCTGGAAGCCTGTTGGAGTTGTTGACTTCCTCATGATGATTCTAATAACTACCTAGGTGTCCATCAAGCTGAGATGCTATAAACTTACCGAATTTGGAATGTGTGTATGGATGCTAATTATACAAAGGAATATAAAAACAGACGGGAAAAATGGCGGCAGGGTGAATGGAGCTACATAGACCATCTGCCAGGACCAAACTGGATTTACAATGAAAATAAAGGCAAATCTTCAGGAAGGGGCAACCGAAAGACACCTTGGAGGAGCACATAACCAGGGACACCATATCAATCCTGGTAGGCTTGTGAGGAAGCAAGAGCGGGCCGGGAGCACACGGTCCCCAGCAGCCTGGGCGGGGACCAGGGGGCTCAGTGGGAAGTTGCTGCTGCTGCCTCGGCTGTGACCCCGAATGAGTCCTGTGAACTCTGCTGCCTGCTAAGCCCTCGGCTGGTGCCGCAAGGACTGGCACGGACTAGCACGGACTGGCTGCGACCAGGGGACTCGGCGGGATGCTACTACCGAGGCTGAGTCCTGCGAACTCTGCATGCTAAGCCCTCGGCTGGTGCCACATGGACTCGTAGGGACCAAGGGACTCTGCTGAAAGCTGCTGCCAACTCATCAGTGTCCCACTACCATGGCTTAGTCCTGGGGTTTCTGCTGAGTGCAACACCCTCGGCTGGTGCCACAGCCACAGCCACCCTTGGCTAGAAGCAGCGCCCTTGGGTTAAAAGTCCCAGGCGGCTCCACAACGCAGAGTCTAGACAGAGGCTAAACTGGCAACAGGCACTCAGCTTGGGCTCTGGCAGAGGGAAGGCAGACTGGACTGGAACTGTGTGGAGACACTCGGGTATTGGAGGGTGCTAAGAACTTTTGTTGAGTGTAGCCACACAGGACTGTGGTCATTTTACTCCTTCCCAGGGCCCTGGGGAGAGGCAGAGGCCCCTCCCCCAGAGATTCAACCCCACCTGGTGGCCATTGAAATGCTAATTGAGGCCCATTAACAACAAGCAGCTGCCCCACCCTCTGGAAATCCTCTTACACAGAGCACCTGAGGGAGTTTTTCAGGCAACTCAAAAACCAAGGGTCTTCAGGTGACCTCTACTAATAGCCTCCAGGCAAAAAAGACTAGAGGATAACTATCATTCCCTGGGCTAGCAACACTAACCAGAAAAGCTAAGACTTGACGGTGGTGTTTAAAGTGGGTCCTCCCTGGCTCATCCAAACCCAGGAGAGGGAGCCACAAAGAGCAGAACACCAAAAACAACAGGGAAAATTTGGCAGACTCCAAAGCCCTACATGATAGCCCAAATGGTGAAAAACAGAAACAAAAGCCTAATGAAATAACAAGAGACCTCTACGGAACATGAGATAAATGAGGTGCAGTTAAGCAAGTTAACAGAATTTAGAGCAATGATGTTGAGGAAGCTCAACACCATGTGTAAGGACATGAGCACCATGAGTAAAGACATAGAAATGTTGAAAATCAACCAGTTGGAAATTAAAATTCAACAGTAAGAAATGAAGAATGACATATCAGAAACGAAAAACACATTGGAAGGTCGAAAAAGAAGAGTACGGGAAGCTGAGGACAGGATCAGTGAATTAGAAGACAGGCTAAAAAAAATCAACCATTCAGAAAACCAAAAGGAAAAAACGATTGAAAAACAGGAAGAGAGCTTAAGAGAACTGTGGGACAACTGGAAACGGAATAATATTCGCATCATAGGAGTCCCTGAAGAAGAAGAAAATAAGCAAGTGTTAGATAATATATTCAAAGAAATAGTGACAGAAAACTTCCTTAATTTGGTGAAGGAAGAAGGCATTCAACTTCAAGAAGCACAGAGAGCCCCAAGTAAGAAGAACCCAAACAGGCCCAAACCACACATAGTAATCAAAGTGCCAAAAATTAAAGACAAAGAGAGAATCCTAGAAGCAGCAAGAGATAAGCAACAGGTTACGTACAAAGGCAACCCCATAAGGCTCTCAGCTGACTTCTCACAAGAAACACTATAGGCCAGAAGGGAATGGCATGAAGTTATCAAGGTCATGAAAAACAAGGATCTGAATCCAACACTACTCTACCTGGCAAGCCTATCATTCAAAATAGAAGGTCAAATAAAGAGCTTCCCAGAGAGAAAAAGGCTAAGGGAATACATTAGCATCAAACCAGCAACGCAAAAAATTTTAAAAGGACTGCTGTAATTAGCAGAAGAAATGGGAAGAAAAATAGAACCACACTAAACAAAAATGGCAATAAATAAGTACATGTCAATAATCACCTTAAATATAAATGGATTGAATGTTCCCATAAAAAGACACACAGTAGCTGATTGGATAAGAAAGCATGACTCATTCATATGTTATTTACAAGAGACCAACCTAACAACAAAAGACTCATATAGGTTGAAAGTGAAAGGATGAAAAAAATATTCCAAGCAAATGGAAAGGAAAAAATAGCAGGGGTAGCAATACGCATATCTGATAAAATGGATTTCAAAATGAAGGCCATAACTAGAGACAAAGAAGCCCACTACATAATACTGAAAGAATCTGTGCAACAGGAAGATATAACCTTGATAAACATATATGCACCCAATATAGAAGCACCAAAATATATTAAAAATCTTCTGGAGGACTTCAAAGGAGAAATCGATAGCAATACAATAATAGCAGGGGATTTTAACACCCCGCTGATATCATTGGATAGATCCTCTAGACAAAAAATTAGCAAGGAAACAGAGACTCTATATGAAGAACTAGACCAAATGGATTTAATAGATATCTACAGAGAATTACGGGTCAAAACTACAGAATTCACATTCTTCTCAAGTGCACATAGGACATTCTCAAAGATAGACCACATGTTAGGGCACAAACTAAATCTCTACAAGTTCAAGAAGACTGAAATCATATCAAGCACCTTCTGAGATCACAATAGCATGAAACTACAAATCAATTGCAAGAAGAACATACAAAGACATTTGAACACATGGAAGCAAATAGCATGTTATTAAACAATGTATGGGTTACCAGGAGATCAAGGAAGAAATTAAAAACTTCCCAGAGACTAATGAAAATGAAGACACACAACACAAAGTCTATGGGATGCAGTGAAAGCAGTTCTGAGAGGGAAGGTCATAACACTACAGGCCTACCTCAAAAAAACAAGAAAAATCTCTAATAGGCTATCTAACCTCACAACTTAAAGAACTAGAAAGCAAACAAAAGAAAACCCCAGAGCAAGTAGAAGGAAGGAAATAGTAAAGATC